CGTAGTGCTCATCGTTCCAGACTTTGTCGAGGCCGTATTTATTAAAGAGCAATTGAACTTCATCAGCCATGCCCTCATCTGCGGTACTTCCAGCATCGTAGGACGCAAAAGCATCCCTCATCCTGCTAGGCGAAATTGCACTTGAGTCAAGTCATCGGACGCCAAGGGGCCTGCCACTGCAGGAAACCCCCTTTTGCACCTCCTGACCTGTTCCTCCGTGCAGGTGCTTTCTGGAGGACGTTACCTGATATCATCCTGGAAGGTTGCGCCTCTGAGCTTTTCTGACAGCATCTCTGCAAGGTCGTGGAAGTTGTGGACCGCCTCTGGCGATGGGGCCTCCGGCACACGAAGGCTGGGGCATTGTTCACACGGTGCGGTGCTGGGAGCTTCTTCGGGAAGTCCTGCCACCTCTCTCTGCTCAGGCGAACTCAGGTAGCCAATCAGGAACCCTGTTTGTGTGAACAGTTGGAAAGGGCGAGCGCTTTTGCAGAGGCAGGATTAGGGAAAATCTGGTTTCTCATCACAGGGGAACCATTGGGGTGGCGGCCAGTGACAAGCGGGGTCCCCCAGGGCTCTGTCCTGGACCCATCCTGTTCAATCTTTCCATCAGTGACATGGAAGGAGGGGTGAACAGTCTGCTGATCAAATTCGCAGACGATACTAAAACGGGGGCAGTGGCCAGAACTGAGAAGCAGGTACTCCGGATCTAAAAGGATCTGGACAGACTATGGAAGTGGGCAGGAGACAACAGGGTGGCGTTCAATGTGGATAAGTGCAAGGTCTTGCACTTGGGGCATAGGAATAGCTGTCATAAGTACAGGTTAGGTGATAAGTGGCTGGAGAGCAGCACTTGTGAAAGGGACCTCGGGGTGCTGGTTGACTGCAGGCTGAACATGAGCCAGCCGTGTGATGCAGTGGCCAAGAGGGCGAACGCCATCCTTGGCTGCATAGCCAGAAGTGTGGCTTCTAGATCAAGAGAGGTATTACTACCACTGTATACTACTCTGGTGTGCCTGCAACTGGAGTATTGTGCTCAGTTCTGGGCTCCACATTACAGGAAGGATATAGCCAGGTTGGAGTCAGTGCAGCGTGGGGCCACAAGGTTGGTGGCCGGTTTGCAGGGGAGGCCGAATGAGGCGAGGCTGAGGGAACTGGGGCTCTTCAGCCTGGAGGAGACCCCGAGGGACACTGTTGGTGATGTGTGAGGGGGTGTCATGTGGAGGTGGGTCAAAGCCTGTTTTCCCCTGCAGAAGAGAGCAGGACGCATTCCAATGGAGCAAAGCTCAGGGAACCAATGTTCAAGTTTGGACGCCAGGAAGTCCGTTAGGACCCATACAGCATGGAATGGGCTCCCACGGGGGGTCGTTGAGGCCCCATCGGTGCGGGTGTTCAAGGACAGGCTGGATGTGCACATGGTGGGCATGTCGCGAGCGGAGCCGGCTGGAGCCGGGGGTCAGACTAGATGGCCCGGGAGGTCCCTTCTGACTTGCTCTTTTTCTGTGTTTATCCACCTGGACAAGCCCCCAGAGGATGCCGGAAATTCTGGTTCTGTGCAGACCGTGCAGAGCTGCCCCCGTTGATGCCGCACGAGCTGGTTGCTCTTTTCAGGAGCAGAGGGAAGCAGGGCCCGTGCAGCCGGGCCTCACAGGGGCAGCCGGAAGCCAGGCTCTGTCCTGACCCATTTGGCCGTTCGAGGCATCCCAGAGAATCTGGATAGGGTTCCAGTCTAAAGTGTTTGTGTGTGTGTGTTGGGGGGGGGGGGGGGGGCATGCTCTGCAGGGGGGTCAGAAGCCAAAAAGCCCTGACGGGAGCCCCTTTGGCCCCAGCCATCGCCGCCGAGCACGTCAGCACTGGGGGAGCTGCGTTACCGAGAAGCAGGAGGGCCAGCGCCCCAGACGCCATGCAGCCGAGGTGGCGTCTCGTGATCCTCGGCTTCACCACTGGGGTCCAAAGGAGGTCACTCCCCATGTCCGTGCTTCCCTCCTCCTGCTCTTCGAACAGCTGC